TGGACGCCGAGTATGCGATGGTGGGATCGGGTGTTTGGTGCAAAACGTGCGCACGGGAACGGCGCGCACAACACATCGAGGTCGAGGTCAAAGAATTAGAGGTAACCGAGGATGAAGAGGCGATCGAAGTCGACGAGGATCGTGAGTGGGATGTGCGCATGATCGAAGAAAGAGTGCCCGATGGGTGGAAGGTCGTGGATAGATCCTTGAGGACAAGGAAAGTCTCGAAGAGGAGGGGAATGATACGGAAGTGGGTTCCGTACCCCTGTGACAAGAAGGTCGACGGTGACCGGTTAATGAGCGAGTGGCGCGCATCGGCCTGTGATGCGCGAGGATGGACGGAACAAGATGATACGCGATCGCCAGACGAGCAGCCCACGGGGATCGACAATCGGCACACGGGCGAGACGGGAGTTGCTGGCGTGCACGGGACTGGCGCAGGTGGCTGGGACGCGCGCGGGATGGTCGGAAGTGGCGACGAGCGCGAGATAGCGCGCGAGTGCACGGGAAGCGCGGGCGTCCTAATCCGCGAAGAAGTTGGCGTCCTGCAGGGGTGAGCGAGGAGTGACGCGTGCAAGGGAAGCGGACGAGGCCTATGCCTCGGAGGAGTACGAGTAATGGTCGACTGCACGCACGCGCATGAGGAGTTCGGCGGCAGTTGGGCGAACGCGTTGGCATGCGCATGGGCGCACGAGTGCGACGCGGGCGATGGCCTATACCGCGTAGGCATAGGAGTGCTGGAAGACGAGTACGGGGCGCATGGCGACACGTGCGAGGCACAATGCGAGAACAAGCAGGCAAGCCTAATCCTCGTAGGAATAGGCAAGGCGCGAATACTAATCCTCGCAGGAATAGGAATAGCAGTTGAGTGTCGCAACGCGCGTGAAAGATCGGTGACGAGAGTAATCCTCGGAAGATCAGGAAACGTAACCGAGAGCCTATTCGTAGTAGGAATATGAATGGTGGATATGAGCTCAAAGCATAATCCTACAAGGAATAGGAGTGACGCAGCAGGCGCGCGAGACCTAGTCATCGAAGGACTAGGCGAGCGGACGGTGCGCGCGCGTACAAGGCAAGGCGCGCGACGCCTAGCAGCACTAGGAGTAGGCGACATGCAAGACGGCGCACGAGAGGCGTGTGAGGCGGTGAAGGCTTGGACGCAAGGAGCTTCTAGAATGGTTTGGAGTGCAAGGCAAGGAATTGGATAGCAAGTCAAGATATTA